TGGATTGATGCAATGGCTGCAACCAGGGGCTCAAACATACGAACGAATGTGAGGATGGTGCAGGACCGGGCAGTGTCTTGCTCTGTGGTACATAGAGTCGCCATGAGTTAGAATCAACTTGATGGCACCTAACAACAACAACAGAGATGATTTCAATTATATGCAAATACCATACCTTTTACCTAAGAGCAACCGAAGATTTGGGAATGCATGGGGTTCATGGAATCAATCCCCAACAGATATTGAAGTATGACTGGACCCATACATAGCAGGGAGGTAGAAAAAGTTCACAGGAGAATTCCATTCTCTTTTAATTCCTTTTTCCATGCACTTTTTGACCTATCCTCATATAGTTCTCTCTATATGTATATACAGGTGTGTGTGCATACATATATTCATACATAAGTAAAAGATAGAAGGAGCAATTATAGATACTTCTTAGACATACCAAATACCTTATGAGTTTGGTTTCCTGGGTTTGAAGGCATATAGAACTACAATCTTGAAGAACAACTCAGTCAATTGATATATATTTAATAAAGTTTATGTTCAACTTTTTAGTTTGGTGAGTAACACCTGGGGTCTTAAAGGCTTGTAAGTGGCTGCGTAAAATTCAACTTTTGGCATCTACTCAGATAGCACCAAAAGAAAAGAGGAAACCAAGACCTCAAGGAAGAAACTAGTATACAAGACTCTACCCTGAGATCAGAGCGAGATGAAGTCTGGCCATAATACTGACCGTATCATAATAGATGTATCCTGACGGAATGGGACAGAGCTCAAATTCTTTAAAAGTAACCACTTACTGGAGCAATGGAGACAGAAAGCCTCCCCAAGACCATTAACCTGAGATACTCCTTAAATCTTAAAACGGAAACCATCATGAAGTGTAATAGAGTGGCTCATAAAACAAAGAATATAACCTCTGAATACTGTGCTCCTGTAAGAGACCAAATGGTCAGCGATTACCCTAAAACAAGGATAGGCAGGTAAGAGGCAGGGAAACGAGATGGAAGTTGTTAGGCGTCTTTGAGTTGAACAGCAACCCTATGTAAACAGTACAGAACATTGCCCATCCCACACTCTCCTCACAAGTTTTGCTTTGTTTGTGCCGGGTGTTGCAGACACTATGTCAATCGTCTCGCCGCGGCTCTTCTTTTGTGCTGACCCTCTATTTTACCAAGCATGATTGATTTTTCACAGCCTAATTTTCCCTGAATATCTTATGTACAAATTGTTCGATAGGACAATAATCTCCCCCAAAATACAATTAAAAACAATTTTTAAGAAAAAAATAAGATCTATGAAAATACTGACAGCCATGAAAATGTTGGAAGTCAAATAGGCACCACAAGAGAAAATTTTGTTCATTATATCTTATCCATTGAATGATTGTTTACATATAAAAGCAGCATTGTTTAAAACAGCAAGAACAAAAAGAAGGTGAAATGAAGACATTCTCATACTGTTCAAAGGTTCTGAAATTGAAGTACCTGAAGACCCAGGGCAACTTGTTCAAGACGAGGCCCTGCTCCATCTTGACCTTTCCGTCTGACTTCATTTTGTCAACTCTGCCTTTAGCTTATTAATAGTTAAACTTTCCATAGATTTCATCAGGCCGCTAAGGGAATGTTTCTCTCTGTGGTCAAGCTACTAAGCCTGTGGAAGAATGATCCTGAGGCTAGCATCTTTTCCCAGGCCTCCAGCAACAGCAACTATTTCAAAGTGCTTGCCTAGACACCTACTGCTAACAAAAGATTCTCAGGAGAGAATGCTTTCTACTCATCTTGCAACTATCAGTTGCACACCACCACAATAGTTACATATTTTTACAATTATCTAAGCCCATATATCCACAGATATAAACCACAATATATACCAACTCCAAACTCACTAGCACTAAGTCAATTCTGACTCATACGGACCCTATGTGACAAGACGGAATTGCCCTCCTAAGTTTCCAAAACGGTAACTCTTTCTAGGAATAGAAAGTTCCCACAGAGCTGCTGGTGTTTTCGAACTGCTGTCCTTGCACTCTGCCTCCGGGGTTCCTTGAATCTGTCTTAAACTAATATTACACTCCTCTCTTCAAAATGTGCTTTCCTAAGCACTTCCCCACCAATCATCATATTATAACCCGAGACGGTTGTGATCTTTGTTCCCCAGAGAATATTTTGTGAGACTCAGTTTCCATTTTGTGAGATGCAGCATGTTTCCAGTCCAAACTACCTTTTGCTTTTAATGAATCCCCTTTATTTTAAACAGAGTAAGCTTTGTTACTCTACAATATATACACTGAGAGTGGTTATCATTCAAAGAAGATTATCACTCAAAGAGTACTAGTAAAAGTTGTATTCTCTAAAAAGAATAAAATCAAAATGAGAAGTGGCATGCAAGATACATTGCTGAGCTGGAAACAGGTAACATGCAGGTATACATGTATAGATGGCAAACAGAAATGATAATTTTGCTTAAAAACAAAGAAACAAATTACCAGACAAAAAAAAACAAACGTTAAAAGGATGGTAAACCATTCTAAGAATTTGTATTTATAGAGGGAACTACAGGTGATTAACTTTCATTAGTCATATTAATTTTGCTCTATCAATAATGCATAGGTGCACATGTAAGGAACTCATCAAGCACCTTGTTATTTTAATAGTTATTTGTTTGCTAGGTGACTTCTTTGGTAATGTGTGGAGCTGTCAAGCCAGTTTCAATACATGGCTATCCCTTTGTGCAGCAAAAAGAAACACTGCCTGGTCTTGTGCTGGCCTTACGATTGTTATGTTTTTGTCCATTGTTGCAGCCACTACATCAGTACATCCTGTTGAGGATCTTCCTCATGTTCACTGACGTTCCAATTTACCCAGCATGATGTCCTTTTCCAGAAACTGATCTTTTTTTTAATGATAATTTAACAATAATTTATCAATCTCATTCAATGTATCAAACTTAGTAAAGCAAGACAACGTAAAGATATTTAATATCCAAGATACAAGTATGGCAAGTGTTTCAAGTTGGTTACAAATTGCTGCAGTTTGAATGAAATAACTGCACAGATAAAATGTGCTTGAAGTAATTATATAATTACAAATCGATAAACATATTTTGGCAATCACTAAAAAAAGCTTGCATCGAAATCCTCAACTGTTTGCTTGCAAAACATTTTTCTATTTTTGAAGGCAGATATCATTACTGGGCATTTTTCACTGATTTTCTTTTTAATTCTGTAAAATTATTATACTCGTCTTATAGTTGAAGATAAAGGATTTAAATAAGGCACAGTAGCAGGGAATTTAAACATCTATTTATCTAACCACAGGGCTTGGTGTCTTGCTACTTTTAGTCACTCTGGGGGCTGATGTTCTTTTTTCTGATTTCATCTGGTTTTAAAACAGCTTCTGTTAGATTCCAAACATTACTTATTCGGACCCTCAAAGATCACAAAACCTAGATTGTAAAGAGGCGCCGGGCCGCCAGGGGGCGCGACAGATTGGCGTTTGACATTGTGGGAGAGAGATTCCGCCAGCCCGTCCTTCCCCGCCCGCCAAGCTGTTCGAATCGAAGGTGTCCAGTGGCGCCTGGCAAATCCACGGCCACCTCAGTCCCGGGGTCTGACCTGAGGATAAGCCCGTGATGCCCTGGATCCAGAATCCACGTATCTATCAAGACGCGGTACCAACTTCACCAGCAGCTCCACCAGGCGCACTCCTCCTCCAGCAGCAGACAGGACGCACACCGGTTACCACGGAGACGACGTCCCCTCCCCAGTCACGTCGCGTAGGAAGTGCCAAAGGTCAACCCAGCTAGTTCTGCTTCCGGTCCGGGTCTTGCTTGTTGCCGGAAAGCTTTCAGGTGTTGGGGAGCACTCTTCAAGCCAACTTTTGGAGTTCAGGGGTGCTGGAGGCCCCTTATCGCAAACATGGCGGCCTCCACCGCGGCTGGAAAGCAGCGAATTCCCAAAGTAGCCAAAGTAAGCGATCGCTTCCCAGCGGCCTTGAGGGGTGGGGTTTGGGGGGAGACGGTGCTCCTCGCAAGCTGGGTCTCTGGTATCCTTAGCGGGAGAGAGCGCTGTTCTGGACTAGGCCCCTAGAGGCTTAGTTGCTTGACGTTAGTGGCCGACCGTTCGAAACCAGCAGCAGTTCTGGGGAGAAAGACAGGCGGTCTGCTCCCGTTATCTCCAACACGTTCGGGGGCAGCCCTGTCCCGCCCCGTGGGATCACTATGAGGACAACCCGACTCGAGGGCACTGAGTTTGGGTGCGGGGTTAGTGTGCAACAAAAAGGTAAGATCAGGACCCTCGCGGCGCGCAGCCCTTGTCACTCAGAGCACGGTGCCCGTTGGCATGGCTTTCCTTTGATGAGAGGTTTTGGCTGAGCGAGGGGATGATCGTTCCACAGATAGATGCCTAACCGGACCCTCGGCCTCACAGAGAAATAGGAACATGTCCTACGAACAGTTTGTCTTGTAGTCTTGTGAAGGTCACAGACTAAACAGCGTTGATGTGTTTTCAAACTCGAGTATCTGCCAAATACAGAAATGTCTTTTGTCCCAAAAGGTGAAAAACAAAGCCCCGGCTGAGGTACAGATAACTGCTGAGCAACTGCTAAGGGAGGCTAAAGAAAGAGAACTTGAGCTGCTTCCCCCGCCGCCTCAGCAGAAGATCACAGATGAAGAAGAGTTGAATGACTACAAACTGAGGAAAAGAAAGGTCAGTCGATGCGATAGTTTTCAGTCTGCTAGTATTGTTAGGAAGCTATGGGTCAGAGGGTGAATGGTCCTCATTGGTTGGAAATTCTGTAAGATAAGAAGAGGTTAGGATTTCTAGCCACATCAACTAATTTGGGTTACCAGACAATTGCACTTTGTGGAATGATAGAAGTATGCCTTCTTATCTGTTTTAAAGCACATAGAAAAATCCATTATCGAGGTAATTTTTGGTGCTAAATTGAAGTTAGCTGGAAGAAGAATGTCCTACTAAGACTGCATTTATACTTATCTGTGCTGCATTCGGTGGTACCAGTTAAGACATGGGGAAGCTGTGAAAAGGCTTTGAGATCTGATCTTTTTCAGCCAAAAGCATGGGGTTACCTGTAACCATTAATATTGCTGTGTGTTCTTATTAGCTGTTTTTGGTGGGTAAGTTATGCATGACATTATGAGACATTACAGAAACAACATGAAGGTACTAGTCAAAAGCATTTTCTTATTAGGAATAAATATAGTTCCTATTGGTTTGTTGTCATAGGCAATGGGAGAAAATTACGTGAATTTTATGTATGTTTTTCCCTTTGTTGATGTGTAAGTCTTTAAAGAAACACCAGTGATTCTGGTTCTTTTTCGTGTGTAACTTTTAACGGATTCCAGAATGTTGTTTCTTTTAAATAAGAACAGAAGGATGGCTTCTAAATATGAAATTAATAAGCAAAGGGTGATGTCATTTTTAGTTTTTTGCTTTTGTTTTGACCCTGTTCGCGTTTCTCTAGACTTTCGAAGATAACATAAGGAAAAACAGAACTGTCATCAGTAACTGGATAAAGTATGCACAATGGGAAGAAAGTCTAAAGGAGATTCAAAGGTAAAATTCTTGAGAACAATTTTTGTATCTGAATATGCCATGCGGTAACAAACGCAAAAAATAGAAATCATTGCAGTACAAGTCAAAGATTGTGTCCCTGGCAGTAATTCTAAATTTTTGTTCCATACACTCATTAGGTTCTTTAGATGGTCTTCTTGGGCACTATGGGAGGAGGGTAGTCCAGGGGAGACAGCAGAAGAGGTCCCATATAGGTGGGTGGTGTTATTACCACCATCCCCTTTATAACCAGAGAAACCCACTTTCATCTGCTTATTATACATTGAGGGTTTTTTAAGTGCCCTACTGAAATGCAGCAGCCAAAAAAATAAATAAAACATGAATGTGATGTTATTAATTGAACTTATTGACCAGCCTCGCCTCATTCTCCAAACATAGCCCCTGAACATGCCACTCTCTTGGTAAACATAAACTCATTCACGTTCTCAATTCTGAAAGTACGTACTACGTATTCTTTTCCTTAAGACATCTTCCCTTCTGCTCTGCTTTCCTGTGTACATTTATCACTACATTGTAATTACATGTTTATCTTTTTAGTAAGACTTTGCAAGGTCCTTGAGAACTAGCCTCTTGTCTTTTTACCTTCCTATATCAAGAGCCTTTCTCATGACAGACACCTATTGAAACAGTAGATTACAGAAAGTTTGGACTTTTTGCTCTATGTGTTGTGTGCATTCATTTGATGCCCTTCAAATCTTGCTTCCAAAGGGCTCGGTCCATATACGAGCGCGCCTTAGATGTAGACTATCGAAATATTACACTTTGGCTGAAATATGCAGAAATGGAAATGAAGAATCGCCAGGTCAATCATGCCCGAAATATCTGGGACCGGGCCATAACAACTCTCCCACGAGTCAACCAGTTTTGGTGAGTTTATGATGTAAGACAGAACCGATTTTGTAGCCTATAAAGATTGCCCATTCTTGTGGGACTTTTAGTTAATTGTGTGCATTTAAGTTTACAGTCTGCCTTATCTTTAAACATACTAAAAATACTTTTTAAATGTCTCGTAGCCTAAATCATGATCAGTGCTCATTAACTATGTAATCAGAACTAAAACTCTGATTATAATCTCTTATACATAAACTTCTCAAGTAAGGCAATTGTTAAAGGAAAAAATATTTTGAATTCTTCTATTTTCAGATTTATATCTTGCTATAAGAAACCATGCTTGTAAAATTGATTGTGGTAATGTTGCACAACTCTTTAACATATTCATATCATTAAATTGTATATGAACTATGTGTCAGTAAAACTTATATGTCAATTGAAAGTTTTTAAGTAAACTTAAAAAAACATGTTTGATTTAACTTGAGGATAAAGATTTAAATCATCTTCACATTTAACAAAGGAAGAATTAGAAATTATCAAAGATTTTTCCCACCCGCCCCCCAAATAAATCATGCAACAACTACCTTCAAACAATTTTGTTACAGGTACAAGTACACATACATGGAGGAGATGTTGGGAAATGTTGCTGGTGCCCGGCAAGTGTTTGAGCGCTGGATGGAGTGGCAGCCCGAGGAGCAGGCCTGGCACTCTTACATCAACTTTGAGCTTAGGTACAAAGAAGTAGATCGGGCCCGATCCATATATGAAAGATATATCCTTCAGACAAGGTTGCTGTTCCCCTTAGATGTTATCATTAATGATCAGAAAACAGTCATTAATACTGAATTCTAGAATTCATTAATTCTGAAGTCTAGAATGCAAGTTTGATCTGCTTAGTTTTATGAGGACATAGATTGTACACACTAAAAAGTTGATGGGCTTTATTTGGGGTGCTTAAGTGTCTTCCAGTGAGGCTTTGGATTTATTTGTGTGGTTCTCTGTAGAAAATAACAAGCTAAGATCCTGGATGATATTAGTTACCTGCATGATTGTGAAGTTGTAATCAAAGCTTTGCTGCTTGCTAGAGGTGTGGCCACAGGAAATTATTTCACTGTAAGTTTGCTCATATTTAGAGATGAAACAATTTAAGCAAGATTTAAAATACTTGCCATGCTCTAATTGTGAAGATTAAATGGTACATGTGACAGCACTTTTAGGGACTGAAGCATTAAGTAATTTTAAGATCTTAATTACCACTCCAAGGAGCGCTGGTAGCATAGTAGGTTACTCATTGGGTTGCTAATCACAAGGCCAGCAGCTGTTCAAACCCACTGTGGACTCCACAGGAGAAAGATGAGACTTTTTGCTCCAGTAAAAATTTACAGTCTGAGAAACCCACAGGGTCATTTCTATCCTGTCCTATCATGTCACTGTGAGGCAAAATTGACTCCGTGGCAGTTAATTTTGAGTTTAATTACCTCTCCACTCCCATTGAATCAATTTTGACGCTTAGCAACTTTCCAGGACAGTATAGAATTGCTCCTTTAGGATTCCAAGGCTACAGATCTTTATAGTCATGGACAGCTTACTGTGGGCCGGTAGCAGCTGGTAGGTTTGAATGCTGACCTTGTGCCTAACCCAGCTCAGTATTTAGCCTACTATACTACCAGGGTTCCTTTAATTATTTCTGCTTGCTTTAATATTATTGGTTTACCAAAAGCTCTTGTAGCACTTGCTATATGTGTTTGGCATTAAAGCATTTGACAGATAATAAAGTAATTTAATCTTAATGGTAACCTTGTGAAGTAGGATTACAACATTCTACAGATGAGGAAATCATGGAGCTTAATATTGTGTATCTCGCCCAAGACCTACTAGGTCAGCGGTTCTCAACCTGTGGGTCACGACCCCTTTGGGAGTCCAACCTTTCACAGGGGTCGCCCAATTCATAACAGTAGCAAAATTACAGTTATGAAGTAGCAGTGAAAATAATTTCATGGTTGGGGTCACCACAACATAAGGAACTGTATTAAAGGGTCGTGGCATTGGGAAGGTTGAGAACCACTGTACTACGTAGTGATGGAGATGGGATCTATAGAGTAAATTCAGAACATATGCTTTTAATCTGTTATCTGAAAGTATTACTACTTGAAATTAGCCCTCAAGTACAGTAGCTTAAAAGTAGATCTTTTGAAAAATAAAATGGCAATTAAGAATTTTTTCTTGCCTCTAGTTAACTTTTTTTGGGTGACATGTGTTTT